TTTTTTTTTTTTTTTACTTGCTTAAGCAGACTTTCACTGGAAGATCATGATAATTAAACATTGCATGGTCAATTATTTTTAAAATGAACTGCAACACATGCAACATAGACAGTAGATGTGATTTTTCCTTTATGCCATTTTTTTAAAACTTAATTCCAGGATTCGTTTTAACTAGACCTCTTCTTCAGCTCACTTACCAATGGTTAAGTGATAGGTAGGCCAGTTCAAATAATTTTTTTCATCTTCACGTTTTAAGCTGATTAAGAGAAAATCATTGGAATTCTGCAGAATGGATTGAAACATGATCAAATATGTGCAATGCACCTTTAGTACAAGCTGAAAGCATGATTAAATTAGCCAAAGTATTTAATAAACGAACAAGCAAAACGCAGTACAGTATGAGATGTTATAATTACAGAACAATGGAATCTGCTTCTGATATAGTGTTTATGAACTTGCGAAGCGAACAAATATGATGCAAACTGAAATAAATCAATGGAAATTTCAGCTGGTCATTTGTCCCTGCTGCATTTTGTGAGCTATTTACAGAGCCAACTTGCGTTCACCAGCATAGCTGATGCTTCAAATGAAGTCCAGGTGCCTGAGCTGTGCCGCATTATCAAACTGAATAGAAAATGACCGTACTGAAACCACGGCTGCCAAAATAAATGAAACGTCATATAAGATGTGTAAATCAAACACACTTGAGAATAGTGCATTACATGGACTGTCTGCTGCCATGAATGACATCATCACAGCACAAGCCAATCTCCTTCAAATAACTTTACTTTATAACACATACCACCCGGTCATAGAGAGAAAAAAACTGTAAAAGCCATGTCTGGATATCTCTTTTACGGACAGCAGCTTCTAAAGGCCGCATTGATTTCTCAAAGAGTGCCAGGCTACGATTGGACAACAATCTGAATTTTCTTCTCCACAGCGGGAGACGTCAGCCCTGCGCTTTGCAACTTAACACTCGACGGGCAGACTGAAGATGACTTTAGGTTTCTCCGAATATCACTTTACAATAGTAATCCCCCTCCAGCAAGGAAAGCAGCAGAGAAACGAGGAAATCAGCAGTTGGCAGGGCTGCGGCCCAACTCCCCCCTGTGTACACTCAGTGTGTACACAGGCCAACTGGTACTTTAAACTAATAGATTCCCTGGCACTTGTGGACAAAGTGGAGCAGAGCTTATGTTTCAGACAGATATGTAATAAAATTATAATCCTCCTCTCGCTCGTATTACAACGGAATTGCATTAGTTAGTGAAGACTGACATATACTGCTGGCATTGCATGCACTTTTCCTGAATAGGTGCACGCGGTTTCTCTATCAAATCTCACTCTCTTCATTATGATGGACAAAATTAGAGCGGATTCTGTTCGCGAGGGCTCCATTAGAGTCTGAACGGCAGGATGCCGGAGAGGGCACGGAGGAAAAGACGTACTTATGTGTACACAGGAGATCTAGCAGAGGAAATGAGTATCTGGAGGAGATAGATGGCTGCTCGCTGTCAAGTACACATTTGTACTAATTGACACAAACAAAGCTCTGACTGAGCTCAGACGACTGTGCTCTGAGGGCTTGATACCACTACAAATTCACTTTGTTCCAAGCTTGAGTGGAATAAAAGTGTAAGTGACACAATTTAACTGAAAATAAGCGAATGCTATTTGTTATCCATTCTTAGCACATTTTTTTCTCTTTTGGAAACCATCTAAATTAATTCGACATTGATTTCAGTAACAGTGTTGGGGAGCAAGTAACTAAAATAGCGTCCCAAATAACCTAATTACATTTTTTGGTAGCATAACAGTAGCTTAGCTGCTTTCACAAGTGCAGCTTTTCCAGTAGCAGTGAAGTATGACAAAACACTAGATCACCGAGTTTTGCCAAAGTGTTTTGCAAAATGATTTAATACTCAAACACACTGTCAAAAAATGTTCTCTCGTAAAGAGTTGGAAAGTATGATGCATTTTATTGAAATCACTTCATGTAAACAAAACAAAACACAGCTCTGATCCCTAGTGAAAAAACGTATACTTTAGCATACTTTAAAAAAACTGAATGTAATGGGTTCAAACACATATTATAGTTTAAATTTATATAAAATGCAATTGGCTAAACTTTAGAATGCTTTGTGACCAACATACATCTTTATATATAAATGTCATAATTACTTCTATTGTCTTTGAATTGAGGTTAAAGTTTTTTGCTGAATGCACTGACAAACTTTTATGGTAAATTTATATATATATAAAAAATGGATACTGTCATTTTTATTTATGTCATGTATTTAAATATATTTGTATTTACACATTTATAATGATTAAGTTACAATTTACTACATTTAAAATATATTAACTTTAAATGTAATATTGAATAACAAACTACTGTAAAAGATACAATACAAATACAAACTAAACTTTTATTTCATTATTATTGCCTGCAGTTTTGTAAAGTATACTTTAAAGAATTGAAGTACACTACAAATGTACATTCAATACAGTTAAGCACACATCTTTTTTTACAAGTGATTGCAAAGAAAGAAAGAAAGAAAGAAAGAAAGAAAGCTTCCAGACATATCATCTGACCTATTTAAAAAATGTATTGCCACCCTAAATAGAGTCAGTGAAGATAGCTACTTGTTGGTTGGTTGTTGTGTTGCTAACAACTTAAGTGTCGCTTACTAAATTGCTTTAGTTTATATGTAGCTTGTATTTTGAGAAGCTACAGTTTCAAATCAGCTTTCCAACACTGTTCAAGAAGCATAAACTCATCCATATTATATTACAAAGAAATACACCTCCCAAAACCAAATTGAAGACACAAATCGCTCCAGAAAGAAAACTGAAAAAGGCTTATGTTTATACGTGAGGCCCGTGAGCCCACCCCATTCCCACAATACAGCAGGAAACACTAGAAATGACAAGTGCTTCACCATCTAAGATTTCTTGCACTAGGTCACAACGACAACTGTACCCTATCAGTCAATACCTTTTCATCACAGCTTTTAGCACAGAGGAACCATAACACATTGTGTGCTGCCCGCTCACCCCACTGCGGCCATATGACGTGCTAATCCACCTTTATAGAGGGGGTTTTCTTTGCACTTTGTACAGCTGGAGACCTTTCACAGTTTCCTTTCAGGGGGGAAAACTAAATGAGTTTCAGCATCATGTTGGAAATATTGTCTTTCGCTGCAGGCGTTGGCGGAGTGTGACTTCAGAAACGCATAATGAAAATGTTGTGTTTGCTGCCTGTTTAGTCTCAGTCGATTATGCTACGATGCAGCAGATCTTCTGGCTTCTACTCCAGATTTTTAGAGACCAAAATAAGACGAGGAAGTAGGTTATTAAGGAATGATGATGAAGTTTGAGTCAAACCAATCTGTGTTATATTAGTTTTATTGCTTTGAGCTTTCTTTCTTTTTTTACTCCTTTTTGCACAGCTGACTTATTCAGTTGTTATGAATAATCTATTGTTTTGCATTCATCAAATTACAAAAACAAAATAGAAAAATGAAAAATTGTAGTATCTAATTTGTTGAATTATCCTATGTGTGTGTGTGTGTGTGTGTGTGTGCATACTCGCACACAACTATATATAGTTTGTTTAAAATATATAGTGTGAGAAAAAGTGAAATATTATTCAAAATTAAATAACTGGAATTTATTTTGTTACTGTACCGAAGCCAACAAAATTGGTTTAATATTATCTGTAAAATATTAACTTTACAATAAAGTGTCTCCTTTAAAGTGTCTCTTGCATATGGTTAGAGGTATGAACCAGAAGAGAAACAGTTTACAAGTTGTATACATACATTTTTAAAATTTATTTGTGTAGCACTTTTCACAATACATTTTGCAGTTTCACAGTTAACTTTGTCCTAAAAATATATTTTGTAATTTTTATTTCACTCCACACTTAATACTCCTAAATATTTTATTGAATATTTGTACAAAAATACCTACATGATACACATATGATAAATCCAATTAACATGATATAAGACTTTATAAAAAATTTGAAGTTGTATACATACATTTTTTAAATTTATTTGTGTAGCACTTTTCACAATACATTTTGCAGTTTCACAGTTAACTTTGTCCTAAAAATATATTTTGTAATTTTTATTTCACTCCACACTTAATACTCCTAAATATTTTATTGAATATTTGTACAAAAATACCTACATGATACACATATGATAAATCCAATTAACATGATATAAGACTACTCATACCATAATATATTATTTTAGTCATACCAATCAATCCTAAATGAAGATTTTACACTGTATGTATAGATATTTTTATATATTTCATATTTCAAAAACTGGTTCTGTTACACTAACCAAAGAAAATTATTCTAAAACAATGAAAAATATTTGCAGCCCAGAATATGTATATTTCTGGCCTGTTATCCAGTACAGCCACCAATACTCCCAGTGCGACAATCCTGTTATTCATTCAAAAATCTTAAATGGAATTAAAAACAATGCCAAGCCAAGCCAAGGCAGTGCTCAAGAGCAATTTGCACTTCTCATTCTGCTGCTGAGGTAAAAGAGCTTTGGAGAAACGAGGCATTCCAAACCCCAAAACTACAACCACCAATCAAGCTCTTATCGGCATCTCCACAGACGCCACAGCAAAGATGCTTTTTACAAATTCAAGGAACAATTGCGTAGAGTCTTCAGAGCAGTGCAACAGATCGTAGCGGTTCATATGGGTAGTCGTGGCGCAGACAGAGCAATCCGACTGCCTTCGGTAATGAATCCCAGGCTGAGGCCTGATGCAATTTGGAGAGGCCGTAATAAACAGCGCTGCGTGTTTAAAGAGCTGTCTGCGCAGGGCCTATTTATATTTACTGCGGGCGGCTGCACAGGGAGCGTCCGATGGGCTTTAGCTCTTAATTTGCTTTAACCGGGCCGATTTGTGCTTACACTGGCAGAAGGCGGGCGGCCCATCCGTCAGTGTCACTGCTGCAGAGGCACATTATTTGAAATCATTTTTAAGGGCATAGCTTTCAGGGCAGCATGCTTATTGCTCCAAACTAGGGAAAAGTCCTGAGTAATTAGAGTTAATTCACCTTCAGAACCTGATCTTCGCCGTAATCGCGACAACGGCTACACGTCGACTTAATAAATCCCAGAGCATTCAGCGCGTATCTGCGAGGGATTTCCTTTTTCATTCTAAATCGCCTTTATGGCTATTGTAGAGATTAACGATGCTTTCTCAGTTGAATTTATGAACATTTAGAAATTAATCTAGCAAATTAGTGCAATTACTCAATTTTCCATTTCATTTTTTTGTTTTTTGCTTCATCTTTTTCTTTTTCTTCTCCCTTGCTTCTAAGAAAGGAAAGCTTCACGTTTTACTGTGCCAACAGTAAAAAAGAATGAGGGGAAACAAGGTTTGGCAGCTATATGGAACAAATTACTGGATTACCTTTAGCAACTGCCAGCAAGTCATTTTAACACATAATAAAGTTTAAGGAACGGTTTGGTCCGAGTAACCCTTGCACTCTACATTAAAAAGCACTTAATATAAAATGCAAATGACCTTTTTTGTTTTTTGCTTCATCTTTTTCTTTTTCTTCTCCCTTGCTTCTAAGAAAGGGAAGCTTTATGTTTTACTGTGCCAACAGTGAAAAAGAACGAGGGGAAACAAGGTTTGGCAGCTATATGGAACAAATTACTGGATTACCTTTAGCAACTGCCAGCAAGTCATTTTAACACATAATAAAGTTTAAGGAACGGTTTGGTCCGAGTAACCCTTGAGACCAATACCTGTGCAGCTCGACAAATAAACATGGTTATTATCGGAAGTTGCGACCTTGAGGTTTTGACAACAGAAATAAAGTACCTATGCTGACAAGAAAACCATACCTTTGGGCTTAGTATTCTCATACATTATTTTATAATGTTTATAATATATGTTCTCTGTATTTTTTATATAAATGGTCAAAAGTGTGGCATAATTAAGTTTTTTATTTTTTTTTTATGTTTTTGAAAGAAGTCTCTTATGCTTACCAAGGCTACATTTATTTGATCAAATATTAAATAAATATATTCAATTAATTTAAAAGACCTTTTTCTACTTCAATATATTTTAAATTGTAATTTATTCCTGTGACCAAAGCTGAGTTTTCAGCATCATTACTCCAGTCTTCAGTGTCACATGATCTTTCAGAAATCATTCTAATACGTGAATCATTTTAATATGCTAATATATGCAAATGTTCTATTCATTCTAATATTTGACACTCATTTATTATCAATTATTTCTTGTGTTCAATTATTAATAATGGTTCTTCTTATTATTATAAATGTTGAGTTTTTGTTGCTTAATATTTTTTGTGGGAACTGTGATACATTTCAGGTTTCTTTTTAAAAACTGTGTTCAACACTGAAAATAATATGAAACAAAATATGTTTCAGTAAATCAGAATATTAGAATGATTTCTGAAGGATCATGTGACACTGAAGACTGGCGTAATGATGCTGAAAATTCAGCTTTGCATCACAGCAATAAATTACATTTTAAAACATGTTCAAATACGAAAGAGTTTTTTTAAATTGCAATAAAATTTTACAATATCAGTCTTTTTACTATATTTTCGATCAAATAAATGCAGCCTTGGTAAGCATAAGAGACCATTTTCAAAAACACTAAAAAAAGCTTAATCATTTCAGACTTTCACCAGTAAAAAAATTAATACAAATAAATACATTTTCACAGGTATAAATTAGTATTTAAATATAAAAATGTAATTATAATTGTATTGTCAAACCCTTAATTATTTTGTAAAACTATCCAAACAAAATCACTTGAAATTATCATTTTAGATTTTGAAACTTAAGTCAAAATAATAAATGCCCCAAAAACTACACACATCATTTTTGCTCCCCAACAGTATCCTCACAGCACGGAATGTCTGTTCTCTTCTTTTCCACTAAGAAATATGGATTAGGTCTGGAGCACTCACCCCATGGGATGGGGATGATATCCAGCCCAGCTCCCCTTGGCTTGCTTTGGAGTCCAACAGGTTAACTAGAAAAGGAGAGAGAAGGGGAGAGAAACAAATAAGCAGTTAGCCCTTTTTAGATCGGGTTTCACCCCCCGCCACACGTCCACTCGAGCCGGGATATGACTCTCAGTGTGCAGCGTCCCGATCAACACAGTATTTACTCAGCTGCACTGCTTTATGCCACAATCCAATTAAACAAACAATGGACTCATCCTTCAAACGAGTATTTTTTTCAGTTAGCCGCACTAGCTTTAACCGGCCGGAGAAAAGTTACCCTTGTTACCCCGTGCATGATGGGATCGTTAATGTCTGACCCATCGTTGATCCTTTGTGTTTCCGAGTATTATTTCTGTGATAGGCATCTTTAACAAGGCGAATAAATCACAAATGGTTTCTTTTATCTGACAGACACCATCCGAAAGGATTCAATATTTTAAAGCGATGTGTTGATAAGAGATTATAGCTAGAACAATGATTGTTTTGAATGCACCCATTTAAGGTGACGTTTTTACTGCATAATTACACAAATAAGTACTGAGCAATATTAAATACAAGTAGGTTAAGATTAGGGTTAGGGTTTGGTTTAGGGTTAGTTACTAATTATTGCATAATTTGCTGTTATGACTATAAAAGTTCATGTAACATGTAACTATGCCAGCTCAAAACAAAGTCTTAGCAAAATGCTACATTTTCTCACTAACATGGTATAATAACTTTAATTAATTAAATAAAAAAAACATTTATTTAAATCTGTAATGTTTAAAAGATAATTTTTTTCACAATGCATTTAGTTCCAAAACACTTCCGCAGTTAACTTTGTCCTAAAAAATATTTAGCATTTTTTCTTAAATAATTTGTATAGAATATTTGATATACGATATACATATGATAAATCAAATTAATGTGATATAATACATAACATATGACTTTAGTCATACTGATCAAATCCTAAATAAATAGATGAAATAAATAAATAACAATACATATAGTTATTTATTTTGTTGTTTATTTAATGATACAAAATATATATTTTTCACCACTTTCAAAAAATATATTAATTTATAAATAATAGAAATTGAAAATAAATATATTCATAGGACACATTCTTTATTTTCCCTTCATGTTTTGCTTATTAATGCTTTTCTAATTTATGCGATATAAATATTGGAAAATTCTCAGATGTTATTGTTTTATTTCACTCATACAATATTTAATCTGTATCTGTCTTTGTATTCAATATTTATTTCTATCTGTGTAGAAATTTTCATTTTTATTAAACACAATATCAAATCCTTGTCCAATCCAATCAATTAAAATGAAGGAAACAACAACAACAAAAACAAAGATAAAAATCAATGGAAAATGAAGGCTAAAACAACGAGAGACGACAGAAAGGAAAGGAAAGGAAATACTGCATTATTAAAAATGGCTGGCTGGCTGCATGGCGTGCTGCAGCCGAGAAGGTCGTGACAAGCTCTTGACATCTCAGTGTCTCCTTCTCTCATAACAACAGCTCCTGTTTGATTGAGCAAGGCTTCTTCAGGCACAGAGAGAGAGAACAAAAGCCTCCGTCGGCGTACAGTAAACGTATAATCCCAGCTGACATGTGGGCCACTCAGCATGGCGTCTATGGCCCCTACTATAGCTGTGTCACTCATTCTCCCTATAGCGACGGCCAGGAAACATCCAGCCAAACCACAAATGGACATATGGGACATGGATGACATAAACCTTTCTTTTCTAAAAGTGCTTAGAAACATATACTTTAATGCCAGCATTTATTTTCTTATCACAAAGCGTGACATGATGTCCGAGTACACCTTCTAAACGTAAGCAATTTGTTCCTAGTACCAGTCAGAAATTTGGACACACCTACTCATTCTTTAATATTTATTTTTATTAACTAATTTATTACTTTCCTAATTTTAGAGCAATAGTGAAGTCATCGAAATGATAAAATAACACCATTTTTAAATATGGAAATTTGGTAGTGACCAAAAACATAACATTAACACTGACCAAAAAAAATTTAAATATCTCCTATTTGAGATTTTTCTCTCGAACGCTCTGGAAATTCACACAACCAACATCATGAGATGCATAATAAGACGTTTTTTTTAAAGTACTGAAGTTAACATTTATGCTGAACACTTTTCATTGTTTACCTTTATAATTTATTTACTTTATGAATGATTATTATAATATTATTTTACATTATCATTACTGTGTAATGTATTTCAATAAAATAAAATAATAAAATTAAATTAAATTTGTAGAGACAAAAATCTGACAAGGAAGCAGATTTTTATGGAATGTTGATGGGAACCATGTGAAGTTTGAGCCATTTTTATCCAGTTTTATATTAATTTTATTTTCAGTATTTAATTTTCAACTTTTTTTTACTTGTATGCTTGCTATTAATAGTCTATTGTTTTTCATTCATCAAATTACAAATACAAATAGAAAATTAAAACAATTAGATGAATGATTTGTAGTATCTAACTGACTGAATTATCAAAAAAAAAGTTTTGTATTTTAGTTTTGTACAGAATACAGAATTTCATATGACGGGACAATTAATAAATTAAATTAAATTGAATTAAATTGAATTAAATTGAATTATTAAATAAAATAAAATAAAATTAAATTAAATAAAATAAAATAAAATTAAATTAAATTAAATTAAATTAAATTAAATTAAATTAAGTTTTGCCTGTGTGTCTACCAAACTAATTTCAAACATTTTCAAACAATTCAAAGATTTAATTATTATTTTTTTGTTTAAAAGGTGAGAAGGTTTTTAAGATCATGAGAAGCATAAATTCAGTCAGGTGCATCCATAATTTTGACTGCTAGTCCACATATCAGGGGCTGTGAGGAGAGTCTGCTACAAACCCCATTATCAAATTCCAGCAGAAAACGGCACCGCACCTGAGCGCTAGCCAAACAGCTGGCTGTTCTCATACTGTAGATGATCCCTATTAACTATAATAAAGCTATCTGCTTATGTCAGATAATGGCAGCTCACATCCAGCTCTGTTGGTTCCAATTTAAATTTCTCAATGAGCCGAGCCCGCATCTCAAATTGAGCCGGCCAGGGAAATTTGAGACCATAAAATTAGAAAGCTACATGGGTGAGGCGGATTTCTGCAGCTGTAAGAGAAGGAAATCACAGCCAACGTCATTCCCACCCTCTCCACCAAAAGTGGAGCATCAAGCAACGCATCCAACACAAAACAGAGGGCTGATTATGAACAGCTGATCCAATGGCCATCTCATCCAACCAACCACACCAGACAAGATAGGTAAATCAATACAGGAGCGAGACAATAATCTAAGATTCCAACCACAGGCCGACAAGGGCTTTCTGTCTCTCTAATGTATCATCCCTGCACTACTAGCTATTGTTTGCCTTTCATCAGCACATGGCACATTGATCGCACACATTAACAGTGCTGAAAAAGAGACAATGGTAATGTTTAATTCGCAAACTATCTAAGAACAGCTCAATGTGAAATGTAATGGTTACGTGACTAATGACAAATTACTTTTTTAGCTGAAGTGTGGGGCAACTGTAATAACGTTTACATTTTCCTTCACAACTCACAAACTACTACAAATCTACCCACCATCTTTTGCTATAATAAACATGTACAACAGAAATAGTACCACAATTATATTTACATTGAGATCATACTATTGAATTTAACAAAGAAGACAAGAAGTCTGTATTTAAAATACCCCATATTTTTTACCCATCAACCTAGAGATAAAATAGATATACACTTAAATTCAAATGCATCATAATTTCACTTTTATATCATACTATGGATAGCTGCCAGTAAATACTATACGTATAGATATACATTTAAATTCAACGGTATCACAATTTTACTTTTATATCATATTATGGGTAGTCGACAACAAATGCAATAGGTGAAATATTTTAGGTAAGTTGAAAAATGAAAATCCATTTAAAAGTATTTAAAGCAACATGTTAAGCTATTTTCCGCAAAAAAATAAAATAAAAATAAATATTGTTTAAAATGAACTCAAAATAAACTCAAAATAATCAAATAAATGAAATAAAATAAAATAATACAATACTTTTTTGAATATACTGCTACATGTTTTATTTAAAATTGTCTTTAAAAAAATGTTCTGCGGCAACAACCCACATGCTGAATAAGTATCATCACTCCAATATCGTGTTTGTAAAAAAAAAATGTAGTGTGTTGCAAATCGCCTTTTTACTACTCCTTTGTCACATAATTCTTAAGATTTCACTGTATTTGAAGCGATAAGGATAAAGCTCTCGCAGAAAATAGCCACTAACCTTGAACATAGCTGTGATCACGGCTGTCGATTATGATCTGATTGCGATTTGCATGGGTATAAGAGAACCATATGGCCCGTAAATGGCACAGTGCCTTCTCTTCTCGCCGTCCTCTTCACCTCTCAGTTAGTTAATTAAATCGGTTATTGAATTAAGATGAGAGTCAGGTGTCTGAACACCTCAGAACCGCCGGGTCCTCGGACAGCAGAGGAGCTGATGCCTGGCTTTATTCAAATCTGACTGTGGGTGTATAAGACACATGGCGGATTATTTTCAAAGGATTTTCGAGTGAGGACAAGAGGCCGCGATATGTGCGTCCAAAATATCCACTGCTGCTCCAATGATCCCTTTTCTCACCCGCACTAAATCCTCCCCTGCAGCTGGTCTACCTTCACCAAGGGTCGCCACGAACCCCAAAACCTTTCTGAGAGGTCAATACTTGTAATAATTCCCCAACTCAACTATCTGAAAAACCAAAAATAAACACATTCAAATGGAAAAACAATAGCAACTCGCAGGTCTTGCAGCTTGAAGCCATAGTGGCACGATGGCAATGAAGTATTAACCTCTACGCCATGAATAATTCAGTCGAGTCTCAGGGTGTCTGCCTCAGCCCTTTCGAATGCTTACAGCTTTTCTGTCCACCATCTCCATCCAAAATCCACCCATCAGCTGGACCACACATGTTAACTGTTATACTGATGATATGGTATGCATTGGATGCGTTTGTACATGTAAGCAAATTTCCAAATGTCTACAAACGTAGCGTCACTCGCAAAACATTAGCCGTCCCGTCTGGAAGCTACAGTGCACCATGACATCTCACCACACCATGTCGTGCTGCCATCACATAGTCTGTGCGAGCGAAGCACTGCGGCTTGCAAACTGCGCCATCTTGGCCACAAGTTAGAAAATGGAAACCTTAGTAACGTAGTTGTGTTGTATGATTTGTTAACATCTATATTGATGCTTTTGGCAGATGCTTTATTCTGGAGCTGATGGGCTTTGAGGAGATTTCCTGAGATATTTCAGGGAGACTTTTGTTGTTTTAGTTGAAATCGGCATGTAAGGACTCGGCGTGTAACTGCTGTAATCCCACATGCTCGGAAACGTCTCAGGTTACTTGTGTAACCATGGTTCCCTGAGGGGAACGAGACACTGTCTGTCGTGAGCGTACGGATGACAGGATAGGCGATATGCATCAGACTGCTCCCAAAAGTTTACCCACCACAAACATTGGACTCACATAGGCCAAGCTAAATGGCAGAAAGATTAATTTGATTCTTTAAACAGAAGTATGTTTCACTAGGCAGTGTGCCCAGATCCAAAAAAAGAAGATATCATTTCCCTGTTTTTTTGTTTTTTTTATGCCATGTGTTGCTTATTAAAAAAACTCAATTTTGCGCTGGCATTAAACCCACTGCTACTAATTGAGAAAATTACCATTATTATTAAATAAACTTTAAACCAGGAAAGTTCAATGTGTATATTTTAAGAAAAAATAAGTAAAAATAATTTTCATACTTATTTAAAAAAATAAGTATGAAAAAAAAATACTATTAGCAATCTCAACTATTACCCGAGAGACAGAGAAAAAGATATAAAACTTTGTTGTGAGCAAAAAAAAGGAGCAAAATATGAGTGCTTCGATGCTGTGTGCATCTACAGGACAGTGTGAGTAGGCCTCAAGTTACACTGTTGTTTTCACAGCCTATAGGAAAAATGCAGTAAAAAAATAGTCAAGCATATTTTTAGATTATTACTGTGCTGCTAGGATATTCAGAAAAGACCTACCTAAATTACAGAGTTCAATTGGTGAGTGTTTATTTATTTATAATAATAATAATAATAATAATAATTATTATTATTATTATTATTATTATTATATGTGGGTGTTGTTTATAGATGCTGTAGGCTATAGTTAATTAGCCTAGAGTTTTCAGTACTTAAATTGTCCCCAAACTTTGTAATCATTAAAAAAAAAAAATGCCGCCAGCTGTAGCTTTTAAAATGTATTATAATGATTAATTTTGCTCAGTTAAATTAAATTGACATAGCAACGTGTTTCGGGCTTTATCCTCTATCTTCAAAGACACATCTATAGGTTATAACACACACGTTGACCGACACGAATGAGGTCGCAATGAGGTGCGCTCTACAAAGATTTGGTTATTAAAATTCATTCCATGCAATAAAGACTTTGCTTTAAAGTTTTGATTATTATTTTTATTCCTATTTTACGACCTGATTTTAAGGGTTAAAGTGCACAGCCTGTGTAGTAAATCGGCCTATTTCAGCCCGAGCAGAAGAAAACGTTCAATCTGAAAAGTCATTGGTGTCAGGTCAAGAAACAGTTGTATGGGATAAATACAAACATTAAATATAAATACAAAAAATGAAAGGCGTTTCAAACTCTACTCGAGTTTATTTCCTGAACAAAAGGGGGAAATAGGCTACTGAGTCTAGCTTCGCATCGATAGCCTATATAACTTTTGAATATTGCCTCTGAAAGGATTTATGAGTCTCATAACATTTTTTTTCTGAATGAATGCTCGTTGTGTACATGTATTATTCTAAGAAAGGGGGTTAATATGAACATGACATTTATAGTTGAACATCTTTTTTAAATCAAATCATAATTCAATCGAGGCAGACTGCGTCAATAGGCTACATTAATTTCGGGAGGTGAGCCGCGATTTCCAAGAGGTCACCGAACTGGCCTCTGACGGTTCTGACACGTTCAATATTAGTTAATAAAAATATAAACCTTCCATTTTTATTAATTAAAATCATATTAGGAGATTATAAACACCACACTTGAACTGATTTGGCGACTGCAATCTGTAAAAAAAAGCACTTTGCTCTAAGTAATATCAATAGCTGTGGCTCTATACTGACACTCTCTGGTGAAAAACACGTCCCATTACATACTTTTTCAGCAAAAGGCAATTCACAGCCCATAAATCACAATAAGAGAGAAAAGCCGTTCTGTTCCACAGAACAGACAGCTAAAACATCACGAAATATTAGACGTAGGCTATCGCCCACCTCTGAGTTGACAGCACATCTTATCTTTCTACAAAGATCATTCCACACACTGATACAAAAATACCAATTCTAAACCCAATAATAGCAAATTGGCCTGAATATTTGTTTCATTTCGAACATAAAGTCACAAAACTAAACGAATCTTTCCATCTTCTGTATCTCTTCACTGAATAAGACTAACAAAAGTCTCCATTTCTTTTTTCTCTAACTAGACCAAATATAGTCAAGGCAGAGCACCTGAAGTTTTGGAAATGCTAATAAACAGGCCTGTATATCGAATATGTGACAACAATACTTACGGAAACTTTTCTAATTAGTATAATGATGGACTATAGCTACACAAAGGTTTACTGTCTCGTCACGTCTCATTTTTTTCCCCCCGAGCGACTATGGAAAATAAAAAAACTTTATAGCTCTGAACGGGACAAACAATGCTAATCACTGTGAACAAAACAGTTAGGGATACGCATGATATACATAAAAACGGGGTGCACACGCATTTAAAGCATATAATAAAAAGAAATAAAACATAGGCCCTATCCGTTATTTTGGCCTAGGCTACAGTGTTTAGATCCCGCCGCTTCTTAAAGTGTTTCACAAAGGACGTTTAGATGTCAACATACAAATGCAGTGTCCTAGAAATAACAACTGTTTTGTTAAAAATACGCAGATTGCATCTGTACCTAACTTTGCTGCCTTCAAATGTTGACAGGCTTAAGATTTTAAGTTATTGACTTTAAAGACTATTTCGATTGTACTGTCACTTGATCACTTTGTTTGAAATCGCATTCGTTTGTAGGCCTTTACTGTATTCGGCTATACAGGTTATCCAATAGGCCATATATGATTGGAAAAAAAAAAAAGAATATGTCAACACGTGCTATTATGTTTAAGTTAATAACTAATCGTGATGAATAGCACTAGATAACTGAAACAACGTCGGCACCAATAAACTTTAATGTAACCTATTACTTTTGAGTAACATTCATAAAATCTGTATGCAGCTTATAACAGTAAATATAAACACTTCAAAATATGCTTTACGTTAACATCAACGTGTATTGGTTTAAGTAAAAAATGAATTAATAATTAAATAAAAAATAAAGAAGAAGAGGAAGAAGAAGAGGAAGAGGCTATTTGAATATGTGACAGACACCCGATGGCAGGTAAATATCTGCTTACCCAATGGGCGCATTTGAAGCAAAGTATATCCGATAAGTTTAAGTATTTCACGTAATAAAACAAAAGCGCAGTGCAACTGAATAAAGTCGGCGCACAAACTTACAGCGCATGTATATACAGTACGCCTTATAGCTAGACTCCATACAAAATAGCGACAAAATAATTTAAGCAATTTAATAAATCAAATGGACAAAGAGTCTTCACATATAGCCTAGTTTAAGATTATGCGGTACGCTCAGTTGATTTTCGGACTGGATTTTGCGCTCAGTCGTTGCGCGTTCGTGATCGGTCGATCGTTTCTAAACATGCTTTTATCATGTAGCTCAAGCGACCCTAACAAACAACAATAAACAGTACTAAAAGTTTAATCTGCAGCAATACCTTTGCATCAATTTCTCGCGCAAGCAATTCAATGCGTTTTGCGCAGAACTGCGATATTTGGAGCTGTTCTGACATAAAGTGAACGGGCGAGCGTTTAAGCAATATGGTCGAATTCGCCGCGGCTTATTGGATGAGCTTCGGAGGTAAAGCAGGTAACTATTCACTTCGATTTCATTTTGCCCTGTCAAAGCTGAGCAGAAATAAAACCCTGTCTGGTCCAGCGCAAGTCATTTGGCAGTATTGTAAAGAGAGAGTCTATGACACGCTACAGTATTAGCAGAGATGAGGTAGGCTATAATGCGTCTCTTACTCCAGACGTTATCTTACCTTCATTGGATGGATGAATAATGAATTCTGCGATGGAAATAAACGTGAAGAGAAAAAGGAAAAGTATTAAGGTTTTGCAATCCATGATAGCAGTTGAAGGGGCAAAACAAGGTACATAACTCCATGAAGCATGCCACTCATGTGAGGGCTTCAGTTCCGACACAAGTTACCATTCTCGGCTCAGAGGCTGATGTCAAGTTTGACACCGGAGACGAGGAGGAGTCTGTCTCTCTCTCTCTCTCTCTCTCTCTCTCTCTCTCCCCTTTTTCGCTGGGTCCTACACACCAGACAGCGCCGTTTATTAGACTGGCAGGTTCAACAGAGGTCATGTCATCTCTCGGAAATTGAAGGGAACACAAAAACACAAGAGGCACTTCCTTTGCCTAAAAAACAGCACTAAGCTCTACACATTTATCACAAAACCTTGAGCTACAACACATGGCATTCTTTGGGCAAATAAATGCAGTGGCGGCTCGTCGGGGGAGGCAGGGGAGGCACAGCCTCCCCATAATTTTAAGGTGAAAATGGGAGGAGGACGATTTAATGTTAATAAAATTCACAATTCATTTCAGTTCATGTCTCAGAATGTGTATTTTTTCGCCACTGAATAAATGTTATGGTCAAACTTACAATGTTCAGCCTATAAGAACTAAATAATACTAATTACATATATTGTATTGCTATTTATTGAGAAAATTGCAAATGCACTGTATTGCACAGAAGGAATAAAAACTACACACTAAAAGCAAAAACAAAAAAAGGAAAATATCAAAAAAGAAGGAAAGAAAGAATGAAAAAGAAATAAAGACAGTAATGTAAAATATTACCAATGTTCAATGTTTTATTTTCGCGTTTAATCCACAAAACTGCACTGTCACTGGAATGTGCAAATAGGTCTCAGACATTAACTGTGTAGGCTGCATGCTGTCATATTAGGCCTTTAAAACCTAACAGCTGTTGGGTGGAGAGCCGGCCTGCATGGGTTGATCGAGCCTGGGACAGACAACATTCATAAACCGACTGGAACAACTTTCAAGAGACACTTAGAAAGGAAGTAAACATCACTTGAACTTCGATAAAAAAACACTCACAGGAGATGAATAAAGTGAAATGGAGCAACAGTTGTTGCAATATGTTTCTTAACATTAGAGGTCAAACAAAATCTTTAAAAAGAAAAAGGTTTTCTTTAAGTTTATTATAAATAAATAAATAAATAAATAACATTTTTTTTTAATTAATAAACACACACACACACACACACACACATATATATATATATATTGCTTTTATTTGTATACAAACTGAGTCTAAAAGTACAAAATTGACTAAAACACCATGATCAATAATTGCTTAATGTCTGATTGAATGTTTTTACAAGCATACATTTATATTAAATGTTCCCTTTCAGTCGGTCACTCTCGACGTCACGTCGCTTAGAGAGGACCAATCTACTTCGAGTGTAAACTAAACGAGCCAATGCACATTGGCATGCGATTATTGCATCCAGCTGCTGCTGATCACAGCGTGAGTATAAGTAGGCAGCAGATGCAGCGCATATTCAGCTTTTCGCTTCGGAGCCGAGCGATCACATCGTTCTGCTCCTGACTACTCTACTGAGAGAAGAAGAACGAGTTCAGCGCGCTCTTGGAGAGCTCTTCGTGTTGGCGGTACAGCGCTTCAGCGGTGGTGGTTTCCCGTGTCGAGTGGGTAGCACACATTAGGCTGCACTACCCCCCAATTTCGTCGGTCATCCGACGTGACGTCTCCGTTCCCTCCTTCAGGGAACGAGGGTTACCATAAGTAACCGAGACGTTTTTCCACTTCTGAAACAGCCGCAGACATATTTAATCCCTGCCTGCACTCACGTGTGGTAAAAAAATTATTTTATTACATTTGTTTTTCAGAGCAATTTAATACTCTAAAAGGAATACAATCAGATCAGAAAATGGACTATTACAGGAACTGTGATTCCTATTGTTGACAATTATATTACTTTCTCCTGTTGTCAACTTTTATTTCATTATTTTCCCCCACTGGTCCCTTTTCCACACTGGATATGATATTAGCTGTCAGACTTTAGTAAACTATTTTATAGTATAGGCATTTTTTGTACCTTAGCTGTGCTTTTGAATCTTTTTTGGAAAACTCTCTGACATTGCAGTCAAGCCTGAGTATTGATTTAATGTTCCAATGTGACTTAAAGACTTTGAAAGGAAGCACAGCATTCTCCACTTTTACAAAAACAGAGAGAGCAGATGTTGAAATATATATGTCCCTGCAGCTAAAGAGAACAATACAAACACATAGAATCATGTTGAATAGCAGTATGGGAAGCCCATTCTTGTCAGCTGAGGATACACTTTTCATTTTGTTGTTGGGCTCTATTCAGTCATTTCATTCAGTGTTTTTCCCTAAAAGCCCATGATTTCAAGCCATTTTCTCAGTGACTTTCTTTCTTTGTGCTCGAAGTTTTAACTCGAACTCAACATCAAACCTGAGCAAAACTCCGGCAGCCTTAAGGGATATATTTCCACAGCAGAATCCTTTGTCAATTCAATCCGATCTGCTCCAAAGTGTTACAATCACAAATCAAATCTCAGCATGTTTAACAAGTACAGTAAACATGTCTGGAGCATGATTTAGAAAAGAAACGCAAAACAAAGAGACAAATCATTTTTAGCAATTAAAAACAGGGAAACAACATTTGGTTTTCCCAGAAGCATTGAGGTTTCGTCTGAGGCCATGTGTGGCCCTTATTATAGCGTGTAAAAGTTAAACGCGATACTTTTAGCTGATATCAGCACAGCCAAAAGAACTTCCAAAGCCCACTTCACAAGATAATGCTGCCTCTAATTTTCTCAATCAAATGAATTCATACAAATGCAATGTCAAAGCAAGTAGTTAATTTCATATTATTGTTTTAAATGTCATATATTGTACACAATAATTTTCTGTAGCCACTGCTAACAATAAAGCAGCCCAGTACGTCTCTGAGTTGTTGAGTTTTCCGGATTTTTCTCAGTGAAGCCTTTCTTTTGTCTTACACTTTAACGGACTTTGCTGTTTTTGTCGAAGAGCCATGCTGTGTTCTGGGTGCCAGTTTTGGATGCCATCCCTCCACCATCTGCTCCTGGATCATGCCAATCAGAGTTTGGAATGGGACCTCTGTCTTGCCAGCCAACATAACAGTTGCATTGCAATTGGTCTGCTGTAGATTTTCCCTCAGGCCACACCTATCTCTCATTTCACAGAGGATGAGTTTCCCTATTATTTGGTCAGCTTGCTATTGCATATCATGAATCATCTGTGCTGCATACTTGTTAGATACACTGCTGCATTTAATGAGTAGGATAATGAATCTAAAATGCAAATGCGTGGCTAGTATATACTACCTCCACATATGTGTTTATGATGTCGCTATATACGTGTGAGGAATGAAGAATATTTATACCATTTGTGTTGAAATTGATTTATTATTCATGCAATATGATACCCAGAGTAGTAATGCTTTGTTTAGCATTCTTTCCACAAACACTATTGGCAAGTCGCAGCAAGCTATCGCTACAGCCTGCAAATAGGGATTTGGGTCATTGCATTGCTTCAGATGAGTGCACAAATAGTTCAAAAAGTACACATGAAATGGGTCATCACTTATGAAACGTGCAGCTTCTTCAGATTTACAATAGGACACTTGAGTTTAAGGCAGGGCACTAAAGGTAAAAAAAAAAAACATTGTTTTCTTACAAACAAATAGCTTTTCGCTTCACAAGACAGTAACTGATGGACTGGAGTGGTGTGAATTACTTGTGGATTATTGTGATGTTTTTATCAGCTGTTTGGACTCTCATTCTGACGGCACCCATTCACTGCATTTTTCCCAGAAGCGTTGAGGTTTCGTCTGAGGCCATGTGTGGCCCTTATTATAGCGTGTAAAAGTTAAACGCGATACTTTTAGCTGATATCAGCACAGCCAAAAGAACTTCCAAAGCCCACTTCACAAGATAATGCTGCCTCTAATTTTCTCAATCAAATGAATTCATACAAATGCAATGTCAAAGCAAGTAGTTAATTTCATATTATTGTTTTAAATGTCATATATTGTACACAATAATTTTCTGTAGCCACTGCTAACAATAAAGCAGCCCAGTACGTCTCTGAGTTGTTGAGTTTTCCGGATTTTTCTCAGTGAAGCCTTTCTTTTGTCTTACACTTTAACGGACTTTGCTGTTTTTGTCGAAGAGCCATGCTGTGTTCTGGGTGCCAGTTTTGGATGCCATCCCTCCACCATCTGCTCCTGGATCATGCCAATCAGAGTTTGGAATGGGACCTCTGTCTTGCCAGCCAACATAACAGTTGCATTGCAATTGGTCTGCTGTAGATTTTCCCTCAGGCCACACCTATCTCTCATTTCACAGAGGATGAGTTTCCCTATTATTTGGTCAGCTTGCTATTGCATATCATGAATCATCTGTGCTGCATACTTGTTAGATACACTGCTGCATTTAATGAGTAGGATAATGAATCTAAAATGCAAATGCGTGGCTAGTATATACTACCTCCACATATGTGTTTATGATGTCGCTATATACGTGTGAGGAATGAAGAATATTTATACCATTTGTGTTGAAATTGATTTATTATTCATGCAATATGATACCCAGAGTAGTAATGCTTTGTTTAGCATTCTTTCCACAAACACTATTGGCAAGTCGCAGCAAGCTATCGCTACAGCCTGCAAATAGGGATTTGGGTCATTGCATTGCTTCAGATGAGTGCACAAATAGTTCAAAAAGTACACATGAAATGGGTCATCACTTATGAAACGTGCAGCTTCTTCAGATTTACAATAGGACACTTGAGTTTAAGGCAGGGCACTAAAGGTAAAAAAAAAAAACATTGTTTTCTTACAAACAAATAGCTTTTCGCTTCACAAGACAGTAACTGATGGACTGGAGTGGTGTGAATTACTTGTGGATTATTGTGATGTTTTTATCAGCTGTTTGGACTCTCATTCTGACGGCACCCATTCACTGCACATGATCCATTGGTGAGCAACTGATGTAATGCTACATTTCTCCAAATCTGTTGTGATGAACAATCAAACTCATCTATATCTTGAATGGCCTGAAGGTGAGTACATTTTCAGCCAATTTTAATTTTTGGGTAAAATATTCCTTTAATTGTTTATTTTATTGCATGTTAA